CAAAAATGCCAACTCCAAAACAGTCAGGCAAGCCGGGCAGCACCGAATTCAGCAGCTTTGGCTGCCTAATCGAGCAGGAGAAGGAGGCGGAGCAGCAGCAGAAGGGGGCAGGTTCAGATCCCCGTCGGGGGGCAAGTCCGGATTCATGTCGGGGGGCGGAGAACACCAGTCCTGTCAGGCGCGGAGGAGGCCGGGACCTAGAAGTGCCAGTCGGGCAGTGGAGGAGGCCGGGTGCCCGCAGCATCAGTGGTCCGGCGGTGAACGGGGCCAGGTCCAGCAGAGGGCGGCAGGATGCAGGTAAGTGGGTCACACAGCTGTTAAAGGGACCCTGCAGAGCCCAGCATAGATTCTGCACAGTCCATCTGAATGTCTCAAGTGGGCTGTGAAGGATCTTTGGTGGGGTCTATGGTGGGCTCCGCAAGGTCTCAGGGGGGCTGTGCAGAGCCAACCAGAGACCCTGCACAGCCCCCCGGGACCCTGCAGAGCCCACCATAGACCCCACAGAGCCTGCAGGGTGACAGGAAGCCCACCACAGATCCGGAACAGCCCACCTGAGACCCCACCACAGATCCAGAACAGGTCAAAAGCTGGATACAGCATGTGTGGTGTATCCAGCAACTAACAGGTTACACAAAAAGTCAAAAACAAGAAGGGGTGGGGCAAATTTAGTGGGGTGAAGGGCCTGAGTATCGTTTTGCCTAGGGCAGCCCCAAACCAAAATACACCACTGAGTGGGAGGGGCCGGCCGGGGCTGTAGATACCTTAATGAAAACATCACAGCACCCTGGGGTGGGGGATGCCAGTCTGGATAACTGGACTATGAAGAATCCATTTGCACTCAGACCAACATGTGATGCTGAAGCTCCATACATAGAACTGAACTGAAGTCCAATGATTGGGTCAGGCCAGAGATAGTCGCGCAGGAGAGGAAAGGGCTAGATGATGGCAGCCAGGAAATGAGGCGGGCCCTATCTGACTTGTTGCAGCTTCTAATGCACATTGTGAGAAGCTCCCAGTGTGCAGTCATATCAGCGGGAAGCCATTCCAGTCCAGGAGAGGATCCGGTGCAACTGTATAAGACTGAAGGGAAGGCCGGAGGTCAGATTTAAGTGACTTCTGAGTGTATGTATGTAAAATGAATACAACGGAGGTCTCTGATTTTATATTTTATTCTTATAAAGCTTTTGTTTTTGAAAAAAAAAACGATAACTAGAAAAATGATAACTGGAGGCCGTCCATTCCCCTTCTAGGGGTCATCAATCACACGACATATAATTTATCATAGAAAGAGGAAGGCAATGCGGAGCAGGATCGTTCTAGACATGAACCGCTTCTCATAACAAGTTCAGCTACAGATGAGGAACATAGAAAATCACACGATAGAAATCTCTATTCTGGGATAATGAAATATCTTATAGGGTCAGGTCTACAGGGCCGGTGCTAGGATTCTAGTCAAGGTGGGCAAGGTGCATTTTTGCGCCCCCCCCGATCCCGACCCCCACCCCCTGTACTTGTCAAAATGCCCCGATGTTTGTGCTATGGTTTGTTTGTTTTTTTTCCACTTACCTTCGGCGCGGGAGAGCAGCGGCAAGTCAGCGCTGGTCCGGTGGGAGGAGCACAAGGTGGGGTCCTAATTTAGCTGGCCGGCGACTGCCTGAGGTGCCGCGCGTGTCGGGATCCTCAGGCAGTCGCCGGCCAGCTAAATTAGGACCCCACTTGGAGCTCCTCCCACCGGACCAGCGCTGACTCGCCGCTGCTCTCCTGCACCGAAGGCAAGTGAAAAAAAAAAAAAAACCTTAACGCAAACATCTGGGCATTTTGACAAGTACAAGTACTTGTCAAAATGCCCTGTTTTTTCCGCCCTCACCTGCAGCGCCGTAAGGCGGCCGCCTTACTTGCCTTGCGCTAGCGCCGGGCCTGCAGGTCTATAATGGCTTCGGCCAGCTTGGCATACGCTGCTTGCCTGGAATCACTGACATTAGATGGAGCCGATGAGCATAGGAATTTCCTACACGGTATGAGCAGCCGATATACATAAAACTTTTTAAAAAAACAAACACATCCATCCCATGTTTTGTCCCTTTAATAATGCTGCAAGTACAATAAAATACCCAGAAATTCAGCGAGCTCCCAACTTCCTGTTCAGGACTGACAACACCATGCCTATGCTGCACTGAAATCCCAACCAGAGTTGTCAACCCCGCCTGCTGGACTGCAGACCTCCTACTATCCCAGCCTCTCTCTCTCTGTCCCTCTTCACATGGGTACATTGGTTTATTTCCCTGCAAAACAGAACTGCTGCCTTGACTCTCAAGAACCTGCCTATGGAAAAGGCACTTGGGAGATGTAGTTCTGGGGAGGAAGCTACATCAACAGGAACTGAGCTCCGAGCAGCTGGCACTGTAGGAATTTTACAAGTCTGTTGATGTTATTATTATTATTATACAGGATTTATATAGCGCCAATAGTTTGCACATCGCTTTACAATGTAAGGAAGACATTACAATCACAATACAATTCAAGACAAGATGGTAAGGAGGGCCCTGCCCCTGAGGGCTTACAATCTAAAAGGGAGGGGGGAAGTGATACATGAGGAGGGAGCTGATAGGGGCAAGTAAGAGCAGCTTCTTACTACATGAACCAGGACATGATCTAAAGCAGGGGTGGCAAACACAAGGCCCGCGGGCCGAATCCGGCCCGCCGGACCTTGTAATGTGGCCCGCACTTTCATCCTGTGAACCCCTGACACAAATCGCCTTAGTGCTTTGCCTCCTTGACTGACAGCGAAGCGACCAATAGCGGCTCAGCACAGCGTGCATTATCCAATCAGAACGCGCCCACCCCTGCTACGAACCTGGCGATGACCAGTTAGCTTGCAGCATCCGATAATCTGCCCGGCTCTCGCAGCAACAGCATAGAGAGGGCGGGGAGACGGGCCCTGCCAACCAGCTGGTGCTTTGCTGTAAGTGATGGGAAGACCTGGCCAATCCTGACGACGGGCAGAGGTCGCGGTCCAATCAGAGGCGTGCGACAGCGGCTTTTCCTGTTTCCGGTGCCAGGCTGGGTGTCAGGAAGCTGGAAATGTAAACAGAAAGAGTCAGGTGCGGGGATTAAAGGTACTTTGTGCTGTTGTGTCTCCTCCTTCCCGATCGAGTCCATCATCCATTCGCACTCCACTCAGTGCAGAACTCCTATAGAACATGCAGGCTGGCCCAGCACCTCACACAGAACATTGCACCTGATCTAGAGGGAGGGGGGGTGTTTGGGTCAAAAGATCTCTGTTCTCTGAACACAGAGGGCCCACTGCAAAGTGTCATGGATCACACGACTTGAAGACATTGGTTCTGGTTTTGGAACCATGAGGATCCATTGCCCAACCTCCCCCTCTGGATACTACTATAGTACTGGTACCACCATAGCATTCTGGCTGGAGATATGCTGACCAGTTACATAGTTGTATTGGACGCCACCCAGAATTGATGGTTTTAGATGGACAATGGTGGCATCTTGTATCCGAGGTGTTTGAAATAAGATGTTCCCCAAAA